TAAAGCTATGCACTACTATATTGGTTTAGTTGTTTTTACTGGGACTTCTGAACATGAATCTATGCAAAAATTCTTGATCAGTTCGTCATGTTATGTTCAAAGTTTTAAGTTGAGTAATTTCTGCACCTAATATTAAGGACTAGAAACTTCTTAAACAAGCTAACCATAAATATGCAAATTTATTCAGAATATCTCAAGCTTCATAAATTTGAAAACTAAACAACGTCATGTTTACCAAAACAACTCGGTTCATAACGAATGGCATTGCCAACAAAACCTACGCCACTTTGTTGGTTGCTATCAAAACCGCAGTAAATTTCGGAGCCATTTGCGATAGCAGCGCCAACTACAACCAAAAGGTCACGAGTTAAAATATGCATGTAACTGTTAGGAACTATGACCTTTAAGCTTCTCTGTGTGCATGTAAGAAAGAATATCCTTAAATTATTACAGGAAAATGAGTAAAGGCTGGTACACCGCCGTTTGTTTTGTTAAAATATAAGTTCTACATATATAGAAGTGGAGTACAACCTTTTTAGTTATAACATGTATTACACTTGTAATCAATATTTATTTATTATTATTTCAGAAAGTTTTAATATTCCAACCATTCCAGTTTGTTTGCAAATACTATGCTATGGCGAAAAGTGCGGCGCCTCCTGGCTCAGGCATCCATATGCAAGTAAGGAGACGCCACCAACTGTATAACAGCGTAAAAACATGTAATAATAAGCCTTATTATTAGCTAAATATGACAAACATGACAGACTTAGTAATAGTCTTTATAAGCTTTTAAGGTGTCGAAACATATTCACTGTTATCAGTTAATTACTTACAAAGACAAACAGATACCTACAAAAATAAATTCTATGATAAGGGATTTGGAAACCCCAAAACCTTTTTTTATTTTTAGAATATCACCCACTTGACTGTAAAGTATGTAAGAAAGACCCACAAAAGAATAAGAAAACGAAGGAAATTCTTAATGCAAATGGGCTTTCTGGAAACAGGTTTCTTGGAATTTCGTAAAGATTTCGCTTAGCGTTGTGTTACGTGATCGTTCAGAGTTAATCCAGAATTTAATACATATGTAAGCGGGTCTTTTTTAACCAATATTATATTGTAATAGTAACCCAGTAAGATTGATTGTCGCTTTTTTGTAGATAACGACTAAATTATTATGCATCGACTAATTTAGTCCTTTGTAAAAGATTTTAACATTTTTTCATAAAGTTTTATTTCGAGGAATTAATATTTTACTAATATCTAGTGGAACAACACATGGTCTTTGTAATTACTTTAAAAGTGCTATATTTATGTGTTCAATGATCCTGGAGCTATCTTCTTCGTAAAAATACAACACTTTTTATTAAAACTTATAGTTTAATAATTTAAATTTAAGCGATTTTTTTCCAAAATTCGTGTTAATATTTTTTATTTGACTACAAAAAACCGTGAGGGAAATTGATAAAAACCAAAATATTATTATAGACTATATCGATATAAATAATATTATTACCCGATAAATTAAAAACAAACTTTATCTGGTTTATCATAAACAGAATAATATATGGAAATTGTCGATACGTTAAGTACCATTTACATAAATGTATGCTGCAGGCTACATAAATGTATCGATGCAGGAATCGGTCCGAATGGAAATGTTTGCACTAGAACTGCCTAGTCGCTATTGTATCGACCGATTCTATTCATATTTCAGTTTACCTTGCTAGCCTAAGCGGTGTGTTTTATAAATGCCATAAATATCAGCTTTTATTTAATCATTCGTTCAAATATGGAACACGTTGTTATTCAATAGTGATGTAACGAAATAGTTCAAATTTCAAGTGTTAACAGAAATTTCAATTTAAACATGTCTATAGCTAACTTGAAATTGGAAAATTTACTCCTATTACAATAGAACATACAAAACAATATGTGGAAAAAGTGGGTGTATTGTTTCCCGAAAATGAAAAATATTTGATGTCGTCAAGTGAGTAAATAGGTTGCTTATGGGTGTACGTCTGAACATGCTCCATTTTAAGTCTCATCATCTTTCCTTACACCTAAGCGTAAGAGAGGCCACACTTCTGTCAATTACTTCATAAAAATACCTACATTTCTCGTAGCTCGTGTCAGTATTTACTAATCCAGAAAAAGAGACCAAAGTAAAGTCACTTTGATACGGTAAAAAATAAATTATTACGTCACCAGATCCAATCAGACTAGTCTAAATATCATCTGAACTGATCCAAGTATCTAATTGTGTTTAAAAGCTTAGTGATGTAAACTGTGATCTATTTTGGGAGCCGTCAGGTAACAGTTACTTCATTAACTTGTACAAGACACAACTGTTCCATCTTGCTTTTCAAAATAAATATCTGCATTATTCTATTTGACACAATTAATTTTATTTAGATGTTTCTGACCTTTCTTGTTAGCTAAGTATGATATTATACAGATATGTGACGTCGTCGTATTTTCGTACGCAAAAAAGATACTTATTTCTTAAAAAATATTGAATTAGGAATGATAATTATCGTAAATTATTAAATAGTTCGTGTTGGAAAGTTGATAAAATAAATTTTTAATTCATATAAAATAACCAGTTCGTAATACATGAATTAAAAAATTATTTAATAACCAATTAGATCAACGAATTCGATGAAATTGTGCATGTAAAGGATTATAAGGATGTGAACCCAATATAGTATGGTTTTCTTTTCAGAAAATAATAACAAAAATATGAGCTCACTCGGCTAAACTCGACTTTATCTAAATATTGAAAATCAATGACGAAAAATATATGTAATACCACAACCCTAAAAATGCTATTAAAATAACAGGCAAACATAATACTGTTGTATTGATAACAGATTTAAAAAAGGAACAAGTCTAACCGCCACTGTCAAATCAAAATTTAAGTCCAAACTCCAAACCTGTATACACAAACGTGAAAATCCACTAGGAAAACAGCTGACTGAGAAACAAAACTGTGATAATAAAATTTACAGACCAAAGTTAGCTCGACTGTAGTCAAAAGTTACTATCAACTGTAGCAGTGACAGTGAAAGTACTTCATCATCAGCCTATAAGTGCCCACTGCTGAGCAAAGGCCTCTTTTCACACGGAGAAGGTTAGAGCATTAATCACCACGCTTGCTCAATGCGGGTTGGCGATTTCAAACTTATAATTAGAAGTTATAAGTCCAGGTTTCCTCACGATGTTTACCTTCACCATATGTCAGTGGTGTCTAAATAATCATAGAAAGTACATATGACTCGGAAAAAGTCACATTAGTACTTCCTGGCAAGTACTAATGTGACTTTCGAACCCTCACCCTCATGCATGAGAAGCGGGCGCCTTAACCTCCTGGCTACCACCACATGTGAAAGTACTTAAATTAAATAAAATGTTTGCAAGAAAGAGACGGACATAAAAAAATGAAGGGGCAAATCATTTAAATATTCCTATGAATTTTTTCGTCTTGGGTATCGCGAGAGTGTCAGTCAGACTTTTACTGACTAAAAAACCACCGTGTTGTTTTTGCTGCTCTAAGCCAAGCCGTTGCACATCATTGCAATCATTGCACCGGCAATTAAAAATATTCTCAGTGCGAAAAAGCCGGACTAACTAGCGGTGGGGTGAAGCCAGACTATAAAACATTTGTCACCATCCGTACTCTCCCACAAAAGTCTTGAGTCAACTAGGAGACATAAATAAATTGTTAAAATTTATTACCAATTATATAAGAAGGCTTGAACTTACTGAATACAACCAAATACAAAAGTACAGTATTCTCATGTGAGCAAAGCCATTTGTGAAATATATTTCAGGGAAACGGATCAAAAGACATTTGGGTTCCTGTCTTATCTAATGCTTTAATAAATTAAACAAAGGTTTCGAGGAAATCCGAGGAATTCATAACTTCATTACGTAGAAATTGGTCGTTAGCGGAAGGTATATGCATAGTAGGTAGGTACGTAGATATATCTTCATATATGTAGGTACATCGTTAAAGCGTAGAATATAATTAACTAACAAATGGCACGCGTAAACGCAATAATTATCGTAGAGTACTTGGACGGACGGACAATTAGATCTATCGTTAAAATTGGTACTCTCTCTCTCTCTCTCTCTCTCTCTCTCTCTCTCTCTCTGCTATATCCACGTTATTTAACACATTAATCGCCACCTACGTCACCAGTGACTGACGGTAGCGGAGGATTTCCCTTCAATAATTTTCTGTCGGCAGTCAAAGGCGTAAATTTTCCTATCTAAATGGAGACTATAAGGTCAAGTATATTTGTGTAGTTTATCAATATTTAATGGAAATAAGGACAGTTATGTTTTTGCCAATCAAATTTAAACACATTTTAATTAGACAAGAACTACATAATATACTTTCAAATAATGTTTGCAAAAAAGTGAACATTACTCGCTTCAATTGATTTCTCAAGATCAATTACTACGTTACATTTTTTTCTTCTACAAGAATATTATGTAAAAGATAATTGTGTAGTTACGTTACAATTTTATCATGAAAAGGGTACACAGCTTGAACAAGTTTGGTACAAGGCGAACCTATTAAGTATGCCTGATTAGTTTTAGACAGGACAGGAGGTCTTATTTGAGGTCCTTACAAAGGTCTCGGGCAAACCCAAACTAGTAAGGTACACAAAATATACACTTGAATAAAGTTACGGGTTATATTTAGAAGGTTTTAGCTTTGAAAGTAATTATAATGTTCGAGAAAATAATCAAAAATGTTTTTTTTTGTATACTATTCTATTTTTGTTCATGTTAATGTTGCATAACACACTAAATAAATAACTGTTATCATAACAAATGACGTCATTAACCAATCAGAAAAGACCAGACAACACGCATGCAGGACCTTTATTCGCTCCCCAAAGTAAGGATCCGACTTACGTAATAAGAAAACTACATTATTATGTCCGAAAATAGAGTTTCTAGAAAATAATAGAAGGGTTACTCACTGAATGAATTTGATCGCATTTGCGGGGGCACCGGCGGACATAGCACGTCACTTCCAAGGCTGCTGACGCTGACTACGTCACGAAGTTCCCCGAGCGACGACGAACGCAGCGTAGGAAGTGAAAAGTTCACTTCTTTCGTCCTGTATTAAAAAATAATAATAAATTATTAAAAAAACCAATGAAGGAATTTATAAAATGCAATAAAATATTGACAAGTGAAGTGTAACTGCGTTTGATATCAAAGGGAATTTTTATAAAGCTGTTATTTCCAAAAAAATACATTTCTATTTTGATATTCAAAAGAGATAAAGGTTATAGAGATGAATAAAAATCGTCACAAATTCGTTTGAAATTTACAAAACATATTACATTCAGTTCAAACACACCCAAAGGCTATTACGAAATAAAAACAATACAAAGGTTAACGCTTCCATAATGTAATCTACCTATTTAGATATGCATACTACAAATATTTGGAATTATCTATAAGATAAAAAATATGATTTGGTGTTCTAAAGTAGATATGAAGAAGCTAAAATATAGCCCAAATAGTTTCAACCGCTGAGCCTTAATACATAGAAATAGAACAAGACAGATTAAACTGCGCAGGATAGCTTTATCCATCTATACTAACATTATAAAGAGGTAAGTAGGTTTGTATGTAGGGGGTAATCTTTGGAACTGCTGGTCGGATTGCCAAAATTCTTTCACTGATAGATTTATACAATGTTCCTGAGTGCTATAGGCTATAAAACACCACGCTACGATTAAATGGAGCCGAGCAGCGGGTGAAACCGCAAGAGAGTAGCTAGTAAACAATAAAATTAATGTGTAGTATTTTATTTCATAGTAAATGTAACGTTTTATGATACAAAAAATAAAATACACTCTGAATAATTATCTATAAATGTGTTGGTAAATTGAGGCGTAAAAATAAAGGTATAGGTATATTAGCGAAAATACAAACGATTGTATAATGGCCGACGCCTTTATTTCCCGCGTTTATTAACGGCGCGAAGCGTGTGTTACATGGAATGTTCTGGAACGTTTCATATTCATAAAGTTATTTATATTGTTGCTGTAGAAATGGTAATTTCTTCGTTATTTATTATGTTACTATAATATAAAATGTTAATGAGAAACTGTTCTATTCTTTATTCGTACGAAGTATAAAAATTAATAAATAGGTATGTACTGAATTTGGTTTAAAAGAAAGAACATTGTAACCAAATACTTTTACACGAATTATAACGATACGTATTTATTGTTTTTTCTAAAGTTACGTTATGACTTTTTGCATGCTTCTGAAAAATACCTACACTCCTGCTGCATGTGCATTTTTATTGGTGCTGCATACCGCATATAGCTACATAAAAACTAGACAATAATTAAATGAAATGGATTTCTTTAAAATGACGCGAGATTCGATTCTGTATATGTATATTTTAGTTTAAATTTTAGTCTAAATTCAAAGATTCTAAAATTCAACACAATCAATTTTCAACAGTTCTACCTATATGGACATAAAAATATGTTTAAAATATAAACACACAAAAATTGAACAACAGCATTGATAAACCTTGATGCAGCTTCAAGAACTAAGTTAATCTTTGACCTAAAACCATCTAAGAGCCGCTTGATGAAAGGTTAAATAGATTATCGCCTGACTGGCGCAAATTATTTTTTAATTCACTATCAATTTCCTTAGTTACTAGCTTTGAATGAGGACACTGTAATTATCTGTATAAAGTACTGGAATGTACCTTGAAATTGTATGTTTGTTGTCACAAATCTTGCATGTAGAAAGTTAAATACACCTTTTACGCTTAGAATAATAATAACACACTTTTAAGTACCTACAGCTCAGCCCGGGTTGCGGGGTAAGCGCAATGAGGCACCGCGACCTCGGCCCAGAGCAGGAGAAGGAACAGGGGGGTTTTTAGTCGGTAAAAGTCTGACACTCCCTCCGAAGAAGTCATTTGATGATTCACCCCTCACAAAAAGTACCTACAGCTATTGAGTAACAAAATTTGATTTTGTTTACTTTGAAAATGGAATCCTCCGTTTTTTATAATTGACGATTTCATGTGTTTTTCATATTGACACTTAATTATTTATTTTTTCATTAATTTAAAACCGTTTGTCGTATTAAAAAAATATTCCAATAGCCATAAAATAACAGACAGGACAAAAGTGAGGTCAAAAATGCAAAATGGAAAGACCGCCCAAATAAAGTCGAGAGCGAAGTGTTTATAGTGTATTTTAATATTTATTAAAAGGTCGAATTAGGCTTCAAAGCCATCAAAACTCTTGATAAGGGCCACGAGGGTTAACAGAATGTTGTTTATCTATTCATAAATATTTGGTACTGGGATACGTAATTCTAAATTGGAAACATGAAACCCTGTTTAAAAGAAGCAATCAGACAATAATGAATAATAGAAGTTTAATAAATGCATTTATTCTTCACAACAGAGTCAAAATAAAAACAGAATAAAGCTAATAAAGAATTTGAATTTAAATTTAGAATTAAGACACAACAAACAGTTATCAAAATAGAATAAATAAATCTGCAAGGCAGCTTGTGGCCAGCTGTTGGACAGTTGTGACCACGGACCTGACTCCCGGGAGGTCTTCTCTTCATCTCCGGGTAGTCCTTGTGACTAGCTGAAGTGAACGCCGATGAGGAACAAGCCTTTCTACCTCATTCTTGCCTTAATTGGCTGGTTTGAGTGGATATCCGCAAGAGTAGGATTTGAATGAAATAATATCTCAGTTAGATGCTGTTAGGGTTCCAGGATTGCTATGATAGCCGTAGGATGCTTCCTACCTCAAGCAGCTCAACATATATTTGGCCGCATTGCTACACGATAGCGGCCGTTTTTGAGGGCCCATTAATTAAGTTTGCCAGTCGGGTGACTCGGCCTGTTTAACCGTATGTATCAATATTGGTCAGGGACAGGGGCCATAGCATTTCCACACTTATCATTTCCACTAGTCCATAGCCACCCACACCGATAGCCATATGCACTATCAAATTGCACAAAAGTCATCTGCGGTTTGTCCTTGGGTGCATTACTTGGAGTAATTGGCGGCTGATGTTCTATTCCACTAATATTAAAGTTGTTCCAAGGACCTCTACAAATTGGTTTTAGCCCCTTGTACACCTTCCAATGGTCCGGAACCCTAATATGGTCGCGTGAATGGAAGTAAAATAAATAATTTTATTCTTTAACATATATTATACATAAATGTAGATATCACAATACTAACATAGCCTAACCGAATCAGATCAACCGATCTTGGTAATAAGGTAATAACCATACAACCAGGTGTTACGGTTTTATCACAAAATATTACTGTCTGGTTCCAGATATTAGATACCAACATAATCTTGTTATATGTTAGGCGTGGAACTTTATGCCTCTTTATTTTTTCGTAAAGATATTATTATATTATGGCAGCATTGCTTCAGACACGTGTTGTGTTTTGAGTAGCATATTTGTAAGTTTTGGTAGTATTACCAGTGTAGAGAGAAAATATAATTTTTTGTTATGCATTTTGAACTAATCAGACCTCTGTAGGTATAGATTTAATCAGTGGGGTGAAAATATAATTTATTTTTAATGCTCATCTTTAATTTTAAAGTAATACTACTTTATGGTCCTACGAATGATTTGGCGATTTTAAAAGGAATACAATTTTATTAAACAATGGTCTAGAATTCGAATACTATCTCAGTCAGTCCATCACAGTACTCTCGAATCGATCCAGATGTGCATAATAATATTATTATCTCATCGTAATTTTCTTATTTTTATTTTTAAACTTTATATTAGTTTTACCAAAAAGCTCTAAATAAATACAAAAAAGTGTTTCAAAATTGAATGTTCACGATTTGAATTCCTATCCAAGCTTTCGTAACGAGAAGTGGCTTGTGTTAAACAAATTACGTAATTATTATTAGTACAGTAAAGTTTATATTCGGTTCATGATATAAATACTTTAAGATACATGCGAAGAAAATGTAACACCAATTAAAAGTTTAGGTAAAGTTTATTTATTAAGATTTCCTTTCGTTAAGTATATAAGTATAAGAAGTAACAATTGCTTTATACTATAATATATGACGTATTTGTACACGCTTAAATTTTTCTGTATAATCGTATTAGCGTCTGTGTTTTCACCTTTTTCTTTGAGAAGGAAAATCATCCAATTGCTTCTCCCGCTCTAGGTCAAGAAAGAGGTCAGATGATTTTTCCCCACAAAAGTAGAATCATATAAATTATTTACCCCATATTAGGGATGATTATGCATTTTGTATAGGTTCATGTTACTGGTTTGCGATCGAGTATATAGGTACCTACCTATAGAGAAATTACTTTATTGATTTACTTTGATTATAAAGATATATAATTGAATTGGAGTCCAATCTATAAACAAAACTTCTCATGTCACTTATTTTTTTTTTATTTTATGTAGGTACAAAATTACAAATTCAAATATTTTAAAGAGTGTTCTGGTAATTTTCCTATTGGTCTATGATGTGAATAAAAGAAGAAAAATGTCCTCTTTGTAAGTAGCAAATTGCATAAGCTCAGTTATTTTATTGACATGTAAGTCACGCAGTCAATGATAAGAAGTTCGTGAGGAAAAGGCTTTGGCGTACTTCCGAACATGAAAAGTTAAGAAAAAAACGCAAGTTGTTTTCTTATTATCAAAACATATTTAAATAAAAAATAACATAGCGTCACTTCGTCCCACGATAAGTAAACGCACATGTAATACTTTGTAACACCCACTTTTTCACTAGTCATAGAGTTCCAAGTAATAAGGTGTGAACCTTTTTTCGTACGTCAAGTACTATTCCAGACTTTTTGCTATTTAAATCAATAGGGTATTCGATCTTTGTTTAAAAATAAGTAAATATTTGAGTTTCTCTTGAATATAATGTTTCACATAGTAAGACATAATACCCAGACCCGAAACAACAATTCGTGGATCACATAAAGAGTTGTTCTGCGCGGGAAACGCATTCGCGATATGTTGCGTAGAAGCATGTTGTCAAGCCACCGCGTCAACCGTGCAGTCAAAATTGTCAAACAACGAAAACCTTCTATGCCACAATGAGTCATATATT